GGCTGATTTACGATCTTTTCTGTTTTCAAATGGGAATTTCTAGGGTAACAACCTCAAGTCAGATATAAATCTTCTATTAACGTGAACGCAGTATAGCCTGGCGTTGATTTATTTCTAGAAGAAAATTTGCTGTGTACTTTTGCTTGAAACTTTGGTCTATTTTTCGATAGAGTTGGCGTCGTCGCACTTTTGATTTTTTTCAAAGATTTTATTCTGTTGCCCATTCATTATCCTGGCTCTAGCAATAACTGAACATCTCAGTGCATCCAAAGAATCTTCTTTATCTTTTACGTAACTACGTCATTCCTCGAAAACTCGTCCAAACTAATTGTTCAAGAAAAGTGCAAACATCGTATTGAAGCCGTTTTTTTGCGGTTATAATAAAAATCCTGTAATCCCAACCGGTTAGCAATCCATCTCTCCGCCCATATCCATGTACATCCATAAACCCCTTACTCTTAGCACGACGAGCTCTTCCGGTGAATTACCTACTTATTTTCAGGATGCATGTCTGATATGTATGTAGTATGTTGTCATAAGCCGGTATATCTCTTATGACTCTATGAATTTGCCTTAAAATCCTCTTTTTCCTCAATCTCTCATTTATATCATAGATTCTTCGATTTCGCTATTTCCAGAAAATTTAAGAATTTTCTTCCGTTTTTTCTATTCGATTTCATATGCTTATTTTAAAAAATTGTAGCTAAATCCTTACAATGCCGTCGGCATTGCTCCGACAAATGTACAGCCTCGATGAACGTGGCAGTGTGAGTTTTTTGAATAATGTTATCCCAAAACTCCCCTCACCCTCCTTCTTCGTCCCAAAAGCAAATGATTCAGATAAATTCAAAAAAATTGCAAAATAAATCTGATACTGAGAAGCTGCGTTCATAAATCTTTCAAAGAGTTGCGTGCTAGCATATTTGGCAGCTTATAGCGATTTGCTCCTTATTTTTTTCCTTAATCTCAGATAAATCGCTGTTTACTGAATCACCTGTAGGACTGGAGTTTATCTACATAAACCTACTGCGATTACGGATTCACTAGGGGTATCACCTCGAAGGTACAAGAGCAGTCCTCGAATGTAATTGCAGAAGCTTACAAAGCAAAAAATAGTGTAGCTTTAACCCTTTAAGTGGGTGCAAAGCTGCACATTATACATTTAATCATCTCAGTAAACTTCAAACGTTCTTATCATTGTCATAGAAGAGGAATTTGGGTTTTTTGATAGGGGTGTGACGTAGCTGGAATATGAAGAAGTTATTCTTGCCACTTCTCTACTCAAAGCTTTGAGTTTCACATCGATTATAAGAATTTGAAGATTAAAGAAGGACCTAGATGTACTAAAACTACAAATTTTGAAAAGGTT